AAATCCCACCAAGAAACAGTGAAGCTAATTGTCTAGGCAGTCGGGTTAGTCCCTGAGGGCCTTTGGAAGAAGGGAACCCAACCAGGTAATGTAAGAGAGCTGGTAGAGCGACAGGGGTTGTTGGGAATAGCCTCTGTACAATTTACACATGCCATTCTGACAAGGATATGCCCCAAATATTAAAACTTATGGAATACTGACCTCTACTTTGGCAAGAGTGTATCAACATCATGAAAAATAGATAATATGGCCATGAAAACAAAGTTTAGAGTTGAATCTAGAGATATTAACGCCTGATAACTATATATTCTGTGACTTTATCAATGAACTAAAAACAGAGTTTGATTAGCCATTATATTACATATAAGTAAATTTATGATTTGGCTCTATTTTCATATCTACTATAGATTTTAGAAATGTCAAATAATCAGAAATGTTTGAATTATGTGATAAATACTTACACTTAGAAGAAAGAAAAGTTACAGAGAAAGAAAGATTAGAAAAGCAAAAGTAGGGCTTCCCTGGTGGCGCAGTGGTTGAGAGTCCGGCTGCCGATGCAGGGGACACGGGTTCATGCCCCGGACCAGGAAGATCCCACATGGCGCAGAGAGGCTGGGCCCGTGAGCCATGGCCGCTGAGCCTGCGCGTCCGGAGCCTGTGCTCCAAAACGGGAGAGGCCACAGCAGTGAGAGGCCTGCGTACCGAAAAAAAAAAAAAAAAAAAGATATTTGGCATATAAAAATTTATATACTCGGGGCTTCCCTGCTGACTCAGTGGTTGAGAGTCCGGCTGCCGATGCAGGGGACACGGGTTCATGGCCCGGACCAGGAAGATCCCACATGGCGCAGAGAGGCTGGGCCCGTGAGCCATGGCCGCTGAGCCTGCGCGTCCGGAGCCTGTGCTCCAAAACGCGAGAGGCCACAACCGTGAGAGGCCTGCGTACCGCAAAAAAAAAAAAAAGAAAGAAAAAAAAAAAAGAAAAGCAAAAGTTATACCCACAGGAAACAAAGAAAATTTCTGGCAGACTCAGCCCCTCTGGTTCTTGGGCCCAAAACACTTAAGAAAACTAAACAATACAAGTCATGGTTCAGTGGTTTAGTGAAAGAGAAAAACACGTAAATACTAAGACTTCTAGAAGTGGGGAAAAAAAGTAGCTGTGTAGAAATTAAAAGAAAACGTTAGTTTATATGTTTGAGGTTAATGCAACACTAGCAACTGAATGAAATCAATAAGTATGTTGTGATGTCAATTTTTTTAAATGGTTGTATGTACAGAGATATTTGGAAAGTAGTAACTTGGTTTGTATTCCCTTCCTTTAAAAGTCACATTCCTCAGTAGCCACCAGAGAAAGGAAAGGTAGACGCTTCCTCAAATGGGAAGATGGAAGGGGAACAGCTCAAATGAATGAGATATGAAAGGGGAACTCAGTGGATTCCAGGAAGAAAAGAACGATGGAGGCAATGGATACGGCTGGGAAGATGTATGTGCACTGACTTCTCCACTGAGGGTTTAAGGCCCTGGAGGCAGAAGGCATGTTACATAGTTTAGGAGGACTGCCAAGAGAAGTGCTTTAGCATGCTATGTGGGACTCAAGGGACGGACCTCTACAAGCCCCGCCCCCCCACACACACACATGCACTCACTGAAATAGAGGTGTGGCAGAGTTTGGCGAAGGGAGGGATCAAGTCCCCCTAGACTTTCATATGCCATGAAGGGTCTCAGACCCTTAGAGGGGTCTGGAAGATTACCAATGGCATCAGCAAACCACCTTATGTGGAGAGAGCACTGCAGCAGGAGCTAAGTGACCCTGTGTTGAAGGCTGCACATGAAGAAGCCAGACAAGAAGCCAACTAGGTGTTGCATCCAGAACTCAGAGGGATACGCAGCAACAGAGAGAGCCTAGGTAGGAAAGAGTCAGTGAGCCCCAACTGAGCAAAGAAAAGCCACAAGTTCTCAGGCCCAGAATTCAGCGGCTGGTGCCAAAAAAATGCAAGGAGACTGAGGCACAAAGGACGTCGGAGGCTAGAGGAACTGGAGGACAGTATGATTTCCCCACCTTCCTCCCAAACAATACAGAGGCCTCAGAACACTTTGCTGCCCTGTATGAGGTCAGTTTTCATCAATGGTCAACATTTGCTTGAATCCAGCCATGACAATGAACATTAGCAGAAAAAAAATGAGGAAGTCACACACTCATTCAATATATTCAGGAAAAGCATCTGATTAAGTACAACATCCATTCACGATTAAAAGCAAAACTAAAAGCAAAGAGCAACTAGCAAAAGAGAACTTCAATAGGACTGGCTCTAAAAATCCTTCAGTAAATCTCAACTTTAGTGTTTAATGGACTGACAAAAATCAAAGCTGAATCATCACAGGCGCACACATGCAAAGTCACAAAGATGAGCTGGGAAGCAGTAGGAGCAGGGCTGGAAGTGAGCATTACTGACATCTTGGGCATTGTATCGAGGAGGATCTGCAAAAACTCAGCTGGTCCAGGTTGTGGGTAACACAACTTTATCTGGATCTAAAGATTAATCTGAGACTAAAAAACAGGAATCTGATATAATAATAAATGGACTCTAAAACCTACCAGAAGGTCCACCATTTGATGAAACTATTATTCTAAAGAGTGCTAAGGATAGAGTCAAGGTAGAAATAAAAAAATCATAAATATACAGCTAATATCCGTTATAGTGCTAATATCACAAGGGAGAAAAATCAAAGAAATGTCACTAATCTCATCAGTGATTTACACTTATAATAGGTCCTGATCATACTTCTAAAAGATTTTTAGATCCTGATACCTCCAGTTATGTGCTGTATTACTGGAAACTTTCTATCTCTGCTGTGACTGATATCCTCAACGCAGCCCTACACATACAGAGAAATGGAGATAAAGCTGAGTTACATAGGTATGAAAATATGTTTTTTAGATGTTAAATCAAACTCTGATAATATCAGTAAGTCTACCAAAAGCAAAGTACATACATAAATCCAATTAATAATGCATGATAACTAAACAATTATATCCAAATTGACACAGTGACAGGAAAAGGATGAACTCCTGTTATGACTTTAAAACATTTCCAACTGTTTTTTGATTTCAAAAAGGAGATATTGAATAATAATTTGAACTACACAAAAATTATGAATCAACATGAGCAGAAACATCACTCCTAATAATGCTTCCCATCTGGAATTTTTTCCATGCCTTAAATACTAAATCAAGAAAACATACTGACCATGACAAATTTGTGGTAGTAAATCTAGAATTTTCTAGACAAACTAAACATTTTGAAAGGTTCTAGAAAAGAGAATATTTTTCTTTCCTTTGATGTGTAGATGGCTGTGTAAATATTAGTGTGTTTCTGCCATTCTGATGTTGCATTTTACACTTATCTACAGCCAAAAAGAAAACTGTCCAAGGCGTATATATATATATATATATATATGTATACGTACATATATATATCAAGATAATAGCAGAAAAAAGAACAAAGAGGTGTTCCAGATCTACTTAGTAATGACCAATACTCACACCCAGGAAGACATCTTACACCAATTACCCTGAAAGGAAGTATTACATTTGGCCTAGAAAGAACTGTTATCAATTTTCTACTTCTTCAAAGAGTAAACAATGTTGGTGTTCTGAAACTCATCTAAAATTTGCCCAACAAAAGCTAGAATACTCGGAAAGAATCCTGTAGCCAAATTCTTAGTTGTTTCTTCTTGAACACGTATGTATCAGAGGAGTTAATGATAAAGTGAGTTCATATATGTTTTAATGTAAGTGTTCTCAACCAGAGGTTCCATGAACTTGGATGAGAAAGACATCTTTATTTTCCCTAACCTCTGATACATAACATTTCCTTCAATTATGATTGTAGGTAAAACCACAGACATTGTGGCTTTGTTGGCAATAAAATAATAGCTACTTTAACTCTAATGTAATGTAATACAAAACTATCCAGATTGTTTATTCTCATTACCACTACAAAAGTATAGAAGTAAGTAGTCCCCTCCCCAATAGATATTATTTAAGCCATTAATAAAGAAGGATGTATTACGACACCACAAATTCTAATACTTGTAACATTTGATTACTGTTAGTATTTAAAAGGAAGCCAATTAAATAACGTGTATGCTATTTTACACATTTAAATTATGCTGAGAGGAGGCCCTGGGTTTTCCCTAGAATGCTGAAAAGTTGATGGCAAAAAAAAAAAAAAAGTTTAGAAGCTCTGTTTTAGAGGGAGAGAAACAAATAGAACACATAGAACCCAATATTTTATTTCATTTCCTCTCTCCGCAATGAGGTTTTTACAAAATCCACATCCTTTACTCTTGTCACTTTAATGATCATTTCTCATTTGCTGGCACCAGGTCTTTGTAGATGCTCTACATTTTTAAGTGCAGTGCATTTTAAACTGGCATATTCAACCTTTTCCCCATCCTGTACTTCACAGATTAATGGCCATCCCCATAGTAGCAAAAAAAACCAAAACAAAACAAAAAAACAAACAAAAACTCTTTGTTTTCAAACCTTTTCATTTATTCATTCTCTATTCATTCTATCATTCTTCATTCAAGGAATAAATTTAAGTAACTTCAGGGGAGTCTGCCTTAATAGATGGTCCAGAATGGGTGTGTCTGAATGAAGGAGGCTGCTGTCCTGCTGGAAACCACACTTCCTGTGTAGCAGAAAGCCACTCCCCACCTCCCTGACTAGCTCAGCATCTGACACTCTTTCTTGCAGCTTTGCACAGAAGGGTCAATTTTGCCCAGCAGGGAGAGACATGCTGATCCTCCAAACCCTTCTCCCCACTGCAAGAAAGGAGTGGCCTCTGGCTTGGGTTCATCTAGGTGTTAATCCCTCTGGTGGCCCACTCTGATCTCTTAGGTCAACCAACCGCCCATTCGGGAAAAGCCAATGCCCGGCTCCCTGAACAAGCAAGGATGGATCCCAAGAAAATGCCAAGGGACCCGAGCGCGCTTACCAAGCCTCCACAAAGGCTGAAGACGGCTGTGTGATCCTCCCGAGCATTGACCTGGCCGCGGTAGAAGCAGTGGCGCAGGTCTGGGGGCGCCGTGCGGCGCTCCTCAGCCCGGAGCGCAGGGGCTCCCAAGTGCACCTCGGTGTAGCCGGCAGCCAGGAAGGCCGCGTCGGCGCTCAGGTTCAGCTGGAAGACCTGGCCGTAGGCGCGGATTCGGTAGTGGGTCCTGAACGGCGTGGGCTCCAGCGCCTCGGCGCTGCGCTTCCTCCGGCTGAAGTGGTGGCTCTTTGGGAACACTTCGCCGAACTCATTGACCCGCGCGGGGGTCACCACTTCGTAGGAGGCCAGTGTCCTCACCAAGGCTTCTGCAACCACAGCGAAAAGGCCGTTGAGCCCCTACCCGTTTCCAACTCCCCAGCGCCGAACTTCTTCAACCAAACGTCCCAGCCAGAGAGCCGAGGCCCCAGGTCCCCATACCCCCGGCGGGGCGCGACGAAAGAACACACGCTGGCGAGCGCGCGCGCACACACACACACGTGCGCTCTGTGAGTGTGCCTGCCTGCTTTCCCACAACCCCGATTCGCTCCACCCTCCCCAAACAGGGACCCTGACACTCAGGGCCCTCAGCAGCACCTCCTTCTCGCGCCCCTCTTCGCCCCCCTGCCGCCGCCAACTCGTGCCCCGCGGGCGCCCGCGCCACCCTGCTCCACGCGTCCCCGCCGCGTGGTCCCCGGAGGGAAACGTGTGCCCCGCGCGCGATTCCTCGAAACACCGCGCAGCCGCAACCTCCGGGGATGCTTGGGGCTGACTGATCCCGGAGTCCCGAGAGTCCCGGCTGGGCCAGGGTCCCCCAGCGGGCAGAACCGCTCCCCCCGCCTCCGTCCGCCCGTCCCACTCGGGCACGCGCCCCACCACGCTGCTGAAGGCGCCCCGCGGTGACCTTACCCTGCCTGGGGTGGAAGTGAACTTCCCAAGACCTGGTGATGAAGAGCGAGAGCTGGTAGAGCAGCCCCGTCAGCCACTTGGCCACCCGCATGGTTCCACCGGGGGGATCCCGACCGGGGAGGCCAACCAGAGACGCCTGCCGCCCCGCCGGCTTCCCCGCGCTCCGCTGCCTCTCCTCCCTCTCGCCTGCCGCTCTCCGCGCCGGCAGCCGCGGCGCCTCAGCAGCCTCCGGAGCAGCAGCCCCGGCCCCGGGCCGGCCCGTCGCGCCACACCGCCAGCCTCCGCTCGCTGAGCCACTGCTTCATCGCACTGCAGCCCCGCAGCCTCCGGCTCGCAGTCGGCAGCCTCGCTCCGCTTCCTGCGCCCGCACAACCCTCAGAAGCCCTCTCCTTGCGTCCAGCCCAGCGCGAGGAAGCGACCCGACCTAGCAGGAACGGTGCCAATATAGCCACCCCGGGCCTGGCGAGCTGGGGGGGAGAGCCCGCCCCCAGGGGCCGGGCCCGGCCAATCAGCTGGAGGCGCGGCCCGGGCTCGCCCTCCGGCGCGCTGCCCGCCCCCAGCCCCTAGCCGCAAGCGGAGTGCGGTCGCCGCAGGCTCCGGCTGTGGGCGTGCAGCGTGGTGAGTAGCCCGAGGCCCAGTTGGACACCGTCCCGGTACCCGTAAAACCTAGGACTGATACAAGTTGCGCGGCCGAGGTCCAGATAGGGGATAGGTGTGCGAGGTTTTAGTTCTTACAATGAAATGGCAAGCATCAGAAGGAAAGTTTCTGTCATGTTTCACGGTAATTTTAGGCTTCTCAAACAAGGATAAAGTAAGCTACAGCGGAAAATTCTTGTAGGCAGAGGATGCTACCAGCGAAGCTTAATGGCCAGGCCTCATTTGCAAGTACCCCTGTGCACCCGGGGGGTTGTTGTGAGTTTCAGTGTTGGAGGGGAAAGCAAAGGTGAGGTTGCAATCAGCAAACACTTCTGGGTGAGAATTTCTGGCAGTTGCCAGAGAAAAAAGGATCTCAGTCTCCAAAGTTCCAGTAACTTATTGTGACTTTTTTCATTTCAGTATTCATTTTTGTACTTAATTTTGTATAAAGGGCCCCCCAAAATTATATAAATGTCAAGCCCCATGAAACTTGGATCTGCCCCTGGGTCACTGTTTTTATGAGACTTTCTGCTGGTAGTTTCACAGTATTCATATGTCTTTTGTTTATAATATCCAAATGACCCCATGTATCCACAGTTATCTTCCTCAGCAATTATTGTAGCTCTGAATCCAGTTGAGTCATCTTGTGTCTGTTAAATTGGATAAACCTCAATGGCAACAGAAAGCAGTCATCATTTCAGAACTCCTTCCTCATTTCCCAAATCCACCTGTTTGATCTGCAGGTTACATAACTGTTTCTCCCTATAACCAGTATGGAAAAAAAAAAATGAAGTGGAAGTGGTCAGATATTGTTGAAATCCAACCAAGGGAGAGAAAGAATATGAGTATAAAAAGTAAAGGAATTATATGGGTAACTCTTCACGAACACAAAGGAATACACTCTCAATTTAGTCCCTGGCTGCCCTTTCTCCTGTGAGCTCACAACAATGAAAATTCTGTTTGCTTTGAGTTGACCTCTCATGACAGACCTCCATACTTTTGTATCAAATGTGGAACAATCTTGTCCAAGGAAGGAGAGTTTCTTACTTTTGCCAAGGAAATTACCCAGCTCTGTAATGGTAATTCTTCCACAATCTATCCCCTTCTTTTGTACCCCTTGCTCACAAGTGTCATTTTATTCATCACAGAATTACAGACTTCTCATGTTGTTTTTCTAAATTAATCCTACTGTTACTCTAAACAAAACAAAAATGGACTTGACCCACACTTGTCTGTTTAGTGGTTACCTTCAGTACACTGTAATTTAGAGTCATTCCAATTACACTGCAGCTCTGAATGCATCTTTACCTTAGGAGCTATGCCTACCTTCATACAAATAACAGAAAATAGATCTGCACCTGTTTAACTGGCTATCTGACTGCCGACTGCAGGCAAAGTAGATACTTCATTTCCATCACAGAATGTTTGTCACTCAAAGTAGTATTTGCAATGTGATATTTGATTTTCAGCCTGCTCTAACTTTTTGGAAACAATGTTCTAAGAATAGGGCCATTTTTTCCTGTTTTAAAGGAGCGGGAAAATGTACGAGATATGTATTTTATGTCATTATAATCTTTACAGTGTTCAGTAAAGAACATTATTTCCTTCATTTTATAGAAGGTAAATGTTACACAGTATCTAAGTAACTAACTGGATATCTACAAACCCTTTCTGACACCAAAGTTTTTTCATTATACTAGACTAGACCCATTACGATATTCACATTATTTGTCTCTCTTCCTTTCTCCTTCCCTACCAGGTGAAAATGTCATGAATAAGCTAATCTATGCCATTTAAATCAAGCATTTCTCCACATGGGCAATTATAGCTACCACTTATGGAATTCCTTTGACATACCAGGCACTGTACAAGAGACTTTAGAAAGGTTACCTCGTTTAATTTATGCATTCCCCCCAAGAGAAATTAGGTAAATCACCCCAGATCACACATCAAGTTAGACTCAAATCTCTTTGGTCTCAAATTCCATACTTTTTAAGAGTAGACTGTATTCTTCATACTAGCTCAAATCTCATTACAGTCGTAATCATCAATCAACAGTAAAATAGATCAATAGATTGTGATATATGCCCACAGTGGAATGCTAGACAGACTGAGAACATATAATCTATAGCCGCATGCAACAACATAAATGAATCTCACAAAAAATATTATTTAGAGAAAGACTTAGAGCCCCCCCCAAAAAAATATATAGTGCATATAAAATGACTCAATCTATATGCAATATACAAAAGCAGGCAAAACTGCTCGATTTTATTAGAAGTGGCTAATTCTTAGGGTGGGGATAATAGAGATTGGAATAAAGATAAGTGAGCTTCTAAGATGCTGATACCATTTTGTTTCTTGATCTATGTTCTAGTTGAAGAGGTGGTGTGTGAAATTTCTTACATCTGCAGTCTTGTGTATTTTCATATCATAATGATATGTATCATTTTTCTGTGTATATGTGCATGTAATAATATAATAAACATTTTTAAAGTACTTACTATGAAAAAAACACCACTATTTCTTTACTATATGGAAAAAGTTTAAGAGAACTTCAGGTATTAAATATTAAAATAATCTTTTGAGGTAAATATTTATTTCCAGACACAACTTAATCCAATAACCAGAACCTATAACTAGAATCTCACAAGACAAAAATGTCAAGAAAATTCTAACAAAATATCTTCCATGGCTATTGTCAGTCACTTAACTACTTATTCAATTTTTTCTTTTAAAAATAAGAAAGGAAAGAAAGGTTCAACACAACAACAAAAAAGGAAAGAAAGAGGGGTATACATCCCTCCAAAGAACATTTTTATTTTATTAAAATACATTGCTAACTGCATGGTATTTAACTCATGACTTAGAAAAGGAAGAAAGGAGGGAAAGAAAGAAGGGAGAGAAAGAAAGAAAGAAAGAAAGGGAGGGAGGAAGGAAGGAAGGGAGAAAGAAAGGAAGAGAGAGAGAAAGAAAGAAAGAAAGAAAGAAAGAAGAAAGAAAGAAAGAAAGAAAGAAAGAAAGAAAGAAAGAAAGAAAGAAAAAGAAAAAGAAAGAAAGAGAGAAAGAAAGAAAGAAAAGAAAGATAAAGAGAGAGGGAGGGAGGAAGGAAGGAAGGAAGAAAGAAAGGGGGAGAGAGAAAGAAAAGGAGAAGTGAGAGAGAGAGGGGGAGGGAAGGGAAAAAAAGGAAATCTAATAACTTTCCTCTGATTTTGAGGGATTCGTAAATAATTCACAGGTTTTCTTTTAAGCCATGATGTACTTTTACCCAAGAGAATGTAGAATTCTGATGGGTCTAATCATTATTTTACATCTAAAATGTTACTTTTTTACCTTTTATACTATTCTGCATATTAAGGTTCATAACCTGTTGGTTGCACAAATATTATAGGATTATTTGATAGAAGTATTTTTGACACAATGGATTCACATTGAATACGTCAATTAAATTTCTATAGAGAGTAATGATAATAGTCCATGAAAAGTGAAATATAATTGGAAGTATCAACTGCTTTAAAAGGATATAAGTTTTGGGCTTCCCTGGTGGCGCAGTGGTTGAGAGTCCGCCTGCCGATGCAGGGGACGCGGGTTCGTGCCCCGGTCCTGGAAGATCCCACATGCCGCGCAGCGGCTGGGCCCGTGAGCCATGGCCGCTGAGCCTGCGCGTCCGGAGCCTGTGCTCCGCAACGGGGGAAACCACAACACTGAGAGGCCCATGTACCGCAAAAAAAAAAAAAAAAAAAAAAAGGATTTAAGTTTTTCCAAACATTTACACAATCGTTTCTGTTTAAATGGCTTTTATATTTGGAATTCTGCAAAATATAATGAACTGATGTGTCTTGCTCCTGAAAATTGGTTTTCTGTCAATTATTCTTGAAAAGAAGTTCTTGATCGTTTATGGTCTAAGATCCATATAGACAAAATGCTTCCTTCTAGACAAAGTATTAAATAAGTAATATATTGTTCATTTCATTTTGCTACTGAGACAAAATTCTAGCAATCTATTAGGGATAGAAAAGGTCAGGAAAAATTATTATCACTAAGATTTATTTAAAATTCTACACTAAGGCAAAGATATCATACATTTAGAAAAAACAAGAATAACTTTCCTCTAAGGAGGTGTTAAATTGGAATTGGACACTGTGGCATATAACCAGTAGACTTTTTCGCCAGAAAAAAAAATGGCAGAAGATCAGAATACACAGGAACCAGTCTTGAAGTTTACCCCCGTGACATGACTGAATGCCAAATAAGGTGGAATGCCACCAGGATGGGGTGAAAATAAGGCAAGGAGCCTCAGCAAACAAATGAAGGAAAGGATGGCATCATTCCAAGGACAGAAGAAGAAAGGAGTGCTCTTTCCCAGTCCAGCTTGAATTACAAAACTCTGGAAGCAATGGGAGGAGCTAATAATACAACTCTGTTCTAGCTCGGGAGGTGCCTGGCTAACATGATGATGACTGAGCGGTTTAAATATAAGACTCTACTGGTGTGTTTGCAAAGAGCCAAGTAAATGCCTTCACTCAGGAGAATATGACACCAAACAAAAATTCACCTGTGCCGTTTTATTTCAACATACATTACATTTTTCAAATATTATAGCCATTTATTTTATAAAAACATGGACTAGTTAGACTGATACTCAAGGACATTGTCACACCAAAAAACAAATATGTCAAATCTGTTACTTACTCTTACTTTTGCGGTCTCAATATGTTTTCTTACTGATAAATTATGAAGACTGGACTGGATCATTTCTGTGACCATTTACAAGCCTAACATTTTATGTCG